GTAATGTATTCTGTTATTGAAAATTTTGGTGGAGGCGCCGGGACAATTTTAAACAAAGGTTAAAATTGAAGTATAATTCAGGTTTAATTGAAGCAGATTGATGAATTTTCATCTTTAAATTATATTTTCTTCCTTATAGTCACAATTATGGATCCCAATTTATATTTTTCTTTTGCAATTGAATTAAAATTTTTAATGTAATATGCAGTCAACCCAACATACAGAATACATTACTTTGTTACGTGAAATTAATTATTTGTTTACTAATTGTTATTATATTATAAAATTTGGTTGAAAACCCATGAATATTTTACATTATTAAATCAACTGCTTTTTTATCGAGTCCCAAATTGCTTCATTCAATATTATGAGGGATTGTATTGAATTATGTTTTTAAAGGGCTTCTCAATTGAACTATTACATGTAATTGCTAAATTGCTTGGTTGTTATCTTCTGTCTATTATCATCGCAAGTTCAATGTAACTATTTATTTAAGATACTATTCTGATATTATCAGTTGTATGTAGGCATAAAAATTATTATGATAAACGCTTTCATTTATAAATCTCTATCTCTATGTTGCATACGTGGTTGTAATATCTAAATATAATTTTTGCCGTTAAATATTATAGTTTAAGAAAGGTTAATCAATAGTATAGGAAACAATCATGATTGAACAAAATATTTTACAACCTGGACAATCCATTAAACCTGAAGTTACAAAAGACGCGTCTAAAACAATGATTAAAGATCTGTATAGCTTGAATTGCGATAGCATAAAAGAGTTAAATGGTTACGACGATAAAAATTATATAGTTTCAGTGACCAGCGTTACGGATAACGCATATATTGAAAAAATAAGTGAAAGTGGTTATGTGTTAAAAATTTTGAACTCTCTGGACTCCAAAAATCCTTGCTTTATAGAGGCGCAAACATCTTTATTAATTTTCTTGAGTAAGAAACTCTTTAAGTTCTAATTTCCCTTTTGGGATTTTAATTTTCTAACTAAATTATAAATGAAAAGAAAATATAGAGTGGAGGTGCGTGTCCAACCAGTCATAAGACTGACGACATTATATGAATGATGAAGTTTAATTAATTTGACGATTATTATCATTGACCAAGAAAACGGAATTTGAAAGATAAAGTGGGCTGTTAACTCCGGCAAAATTTATCTAGAAGCTTTCCTTTTTGCATTGTTAAATCAATTCGTTTTCCTTTTCGCAGTGNTAGATGAAAATAATGTGCATTGTCCGAAACCTGTAAAGAACAAGTACGGTCAATACTTTTATACAAAAAAGTTACAAAGTGGATATCATATAATTAGACTTCTCGAATTTATACCAGGAAAATTGCTTCATGAAATTCCCGTATCCAATAACCTATCGTTTGAAATCGGAATATTTGTTGGGAAATTAGACAAAATACTTCAAGTAAATTACTTCATTTATCTTATTCAAAACAGCTTAATACTTGAAATATTATTTTAAGAAGCAACCCGTAACGTAAATATCTTTTTAGGGTTTTGATAACCCTGTTTATCAATCGCACAGCTCCATTTGGATGCTTAATTCTGTTCCACGTCTAAAAGAATTTACTTTTGCAATTAAAGAAGATAATAAGTTACAGGTTTTTCTGAATATTATAAATAATTATGAAGAAAAAGTTTTAAAAAACTACGATAAATTTAGAAAAGGACTAATTCATGGAGATATAAATGAGCAAAACTTAATCGTTGATGGAAATTCCGATACAGGATGGTTTGTATCAGCAATAATTGACTTCGGAGACAGTCACTATTCCTGTTATTTGTTTGAGATTGCCATTGCCATGACGTACATCATGCTTACCACTAAAACTCTTGAATCAGGAGGATTTGTACTTGCAGGATATTTACAAAATGTAAAATTGTCGGACCTTGAATTATCACTGTTAAAGGTGAAAACTTTGTTTTTAATTAATAATTATATTCGCTGTTTTAACACAGCAATTCGCGTTTTTCATTAATACCACAGGGTTAATAAATGCACACATTTTTAATGAAAAGTAAACTGTGTGTGTATTTATTTTTATTTTTTTAACTTAAAATTTACCTCACCCATGTAAGTAGCCAGTTAAACTAACTTTTATAATAATAAACTCATACTTCTAATGATAATTCATCCTAAATTCTACATACATTCTTTCTCATGTTAAAAAAAAAACATGCAAAATAGTTGTTTGACATTAACATACTTCAAATTAAGAAAAACGTTTGTAGATTTGCATTGAAGCAAGATTAACCCAATCTCTCATGTTGGGTGCGTATTCTTTTCTAAAAGACCCTGAAAACCACTACATACTTACTACAGCAAGAGAAGGATGGAATCTACTTGAAAGGCTAAGAAGCAAACCCGATGAAGAATTATTGAAAACATGGAGAAACGTATTGGACATTTATTAAAAGTATAATAACGTACATAAATATTGTTGTAAATGTTATACTTAACAGAATAATGCTAAAACTTATAATTAAATAAGACAGTGCATTAGTATTTATTATTAATGCTCTCTTCTGATAAAGATTTAGATGTACCTACACCTTACTTATACAATATTTTTTGTATTAGCATTAAGCACCATTAAATTTCCTAAATTTTTTTGAAGACCTCATCGAAATCGGTTAAGAAATAACTAAATTATACGTTTTTGAAATTTCTCCTACATTAATTATTACAAGTGGCGCCTAATATTGTTTACTACGGCAATCCTCTAAAAGGGCAATGTACTGAACTTGACCTAGTCTCGAAAAGTATGATGGCCGCCATCGTAACAGCCAATCAGGTGCGTCGAATAAGCTTATTACAATTACACCTGCATAGTTCAGTTAGTCACCCGCGATGTCTTGGTTGGTGTACTTCGCTGCACTAGATTTTAAGTTATAATTACGTAAAAACGTAATAATTATTTTAGTTAATTAATTTTATGTCTGTCCTGATTACACAGTTTGGCTATGGCCCTTTCTGTTTTGTTTCTACTTCCAGTAGTTATGGAAATTTGCTTATCTATGGAAACTTCTAACCGTTGCCCAATTTAAATAAACATAACCAACAAATTTTACGTAGAATTTAAATCATAATTTTCTTTCTGAAAAGCCTTTTAGTAATTAAATATACTTGGAAAGATAGTTGTCGTTTATAGAAAAGTAACGGGTGGTTTGAGTTAGTAATAACAAGTGTGTAGTTGATAATTCGTACTAGTAATGATTGGAAGAAGCTTAAGAAAAATATAAAATTACAATTTAGTTTTTGTATAATTTACATTATTAATTGTATTTAAAGAAATGAGTTTCAATGTGTTTCATAGTGATAGTCTAAAAAAACGTGTGTTTGAAACAAAACCAGCTGATAAGGATGGGTAATTATTCATTCACCTAAATGTCGATTGTATAAATTGAAATTGTTTTTTTTTTCAGGCTTTTGTTAACCTTACATCATCGACAATTGAATAGAGAAATAAGGCTGCTTTATGCAAGTTTTAATAAGACTGGTAGACTATTAGCTGTTTCAGATCACAGTAAAAATCTTTTCATACTTGATGTCTACAATAACAGATGTTGGGGTTTTCCTAGTAACATATCTTCAACTGCTCTTAAATTTTCTGAGTTCAATGATTATGAGTTAGTTGTTGGTACAAATTATGGTGAAGTACATATTTTACATGTGGAAACATCTAAACCTATAGCTACACTTACTGGTCATACTAATTCTGTTAAAAGTATATCATTTATGCCAGAGTTGTTGTGTTTAACTGCGTCCAAAGGGGAAGGCTTAATTTGGGATTTTAAGACATTTTCACGCTTGCAAGTCCTCTCAATTGAGTCAGGATGTACTTTGAAAATTGTAAGTTTAATTACTTAATCAGTTTAAATAATTAGTTATTCTTTTTTGATATTGTATTAATTAAAGCTATCATATTTTTACTTAGGCATTATTTATACCACAAAAAAGTTATATACTGGCAAGTGTAAGTAATGACACTATTTTGATATGGAAATATTCTGATTTACAATGTATTAAGAAAATTTCTTCAGCTCCGTGGTATAAAGGAAAAATCAGTTGCATATCCATTACAAGGTGCATATTTAATTAAGTTATTATTTTTAAGCAATTAGGACCTTCTTTTTTAAACTTGAATAGTTCAATGTTTGTGTGTATTTCAGGGAGTCCTTAACTTCTACTACAAATAATAATGCTAAAAAGATACAATTTCATAAACTTATTTTATTACATTTATGTTTATTTATTAATTGATTAGCCTAAGGTCAATCAGTGTTGTGCTTATGAATTATGTGCTTTATATTTTAGAAATGGGAGAGTTATGGTCTTAGGTGGTTATTCTAATTATCTAGCAGTTTTCTTGCTGGATGACTTTTCACTTTCTTATTTTATCGAACTATCAAGCTCTGTACGTTCAGTTAAAGATATCCAGTTTATTCCGCAGCCTTTTGACGGTGGGGCCCATAAACTGCTTACAATTTTAGCAGGAAACGGAATACTTTATTTTTATGACATGGAAGCAAACTGTTTCATAAACCAAATCAAAAATGCTCAGGAAATAGCAAAGTTCAGTATTTCATCAAATGGTGAACATTTAGCTTGCATATTTAACGAAGGATTTATGAATGTTTATAAACTTAATTCGTTACTAAAAAATTCACGTTTCAAAAAAGCACAAACAAGAGGATCTGACCAATGCAAAATTAACTCATTTAAAATAAAAGACTCTTCTTCTGTAGAAGTAGAGGTAAATTTTGCTTGTCGATTATTTCCAAGCGTTATTTATAATTTTATTGTAGGTCAGGAAAATGCTGAGTATCGAAAAATTGAAAAATATTTTGAGTATCTTTGGAAAATACCCAGATCATTTTCGTTTACAAATTTGGACACAGTTGCTACAACTACCAAAGAATAATGAATTGTATAATGGTTTTATAAATAATGTCTATCAACGATGTTTTCCTGATCTAGAACGAAAATATCCCCTAGAAAATAAGTTGTATCTAAAAAATTTACGCAGATTACTATCAAATTTAGTAACATGGAGCCCATTTCTGAAGGATGTTTCGTATTTACCAATATTTGTATTTCCTTTTGTAAAAATCTTTAGAAATAATCCTGTCGTTTGTTTTGAGGCTGTTTGCACAATAATTAGTAAGTGTGTGTCATATAGTTTACTTATTAAAGTTGAATGAAAATGTAGAGCATCTTTTTTTAGTTAATTGGTGTCAGTATTGGTTTGAATATTTCCCACTACCACCTGCTAATATTCTGGGAATAATCGGGAATTTGTTACTGGAACATGATCAGGTTTTAGCAGCCCATTTGTCAGTTTTATCACACCCAAAAACATATATTTGGCCATTGTTAGAAACATGCTTTTCCGAAGTTCTTACCTCCGACGATTGGTGTTGTTTGTGGGACCACATTTTGACAAACGAACCGTACTTCTTACATTTTTGTGTAGTTGCGTACAATATTGTAAACCGTGAAGTGCTCCTTTCTTTGCACTCCAGAGATGAATTTGAATATTTTTATCATAATGCAAACCCAATTGATATTAAAAAAGTGATTTCAAAATCTTATAAATTAATGAATAGCACATGTGAAAGAAATCACCCTAAACAGTATTTATATGAATTTGCAAAATTAGAGGAGGGCCATTATCCAAAATGCATAGATTCTCCTTCGATTATATTTGTGGATGGTACAGATCCTAAAGAACTACTTACATTAGAAAATGAAAAGGAGACGATTCAAAAAGAGGAAGAGCATTTGGAAGATATAATAAATAAGACAAAAACAAAAGTCGATGAAATTAAAAAAGAGAAAACAAAAAATGAACTATTAGAGAGTAAGTACCAGCATATTATAGCTTATCAGTTTACAATGGCTTAATCAAGAAATATTACACAGAACTGGAAATCGCTTGTAAAGAAGAAATAAAGAATGAACGCGAACAGATTCAGAAAAGGAGAAAGAAATTAGAACAAATGAGAATGGCTTTATATAAGGAAGAATTGAAACTATTGGATGCATATCAGGAAAAACTACAAAAAGAAAATGTGCTCAAAGAAGAACAAAAATTAACTAAAATGAGAAATGATATTGAAAATACTAAGAACAATGAAATATTAGAAGTTGCAAAAGCTGAAAACGACTTTCTTAGGAATTATGTCAGCATTGTTAAACAAAAAATTAACATTGATAGTGCCTTTAGCAAACCAAAAGAACAACATTCATTAACACAGGAACAAATGGATTTAAAGTCATTGCAAAACCAATTGCATGATTATATAAAAGAGGTAAAATTTACATGAACTATGAGTATTTTCTAAAAAAAAATACAAACGTTAAGAGCATTTTCTCATTGTAAAAGTGTTCCATTTTAGGTACAAGATGATAACAAAAGAACCGACTACTATAAAGCTCTGTGTTTAACAACCAGTAAAAATATTATTGAGAATTTAATTCAACGAGTTCAATTCGAATTAATAAGTGAAAATAAGGAGAAAGACAAGGTAAAGGAGTGTGCTTTTTAACTAAAATAATTTCGTGATTACCCAATATAGATATGTTACATATTTAAACTGGTTATGCTATAATATGTATAATTATACTTATGCGTACTTTGGGTTGCCTAACCATAAGTGTAAACTTTTTAAATTTTCTTATCGTTTCGTTGAGCTGATTGCAATATTATTTCAAAAATATCACTCTATTATCTTGAAAATATATACCATGTAGTCTCCATGATATGTACTTTCAACTCTTTTGAAATTGCTCGATTAACCAAAATAAAAATACACATTTCCTAATAATATTATCGATAGCATAGGCTAAAGACTGTTATTGTTTCAGTTAAAAGAATTAGAATCTGCATCGCTAGATATTGAAAAAGGGGTTTCTTCTTTATTGAAAAGTATTGGAAGCTCAGAAAATTGTGATAATAAGGAAATATCAGAAAGTCCACCCCAGTGTAAAAGGAAACAAAGAAAACTAAGGTTTAGAAAAACTCGTTCTTCTGTAAAATAGCTATCTTCTTATTAAACATGTTCAATAGTATACAATAGCCATTATTTTATTATACCTGTATAAATATACAGCTATTAAGTAATAGCTTTTCAGAACGACTGGTAATAACATGGCTCATGGGTGCATGACAAATTTTTGCGCAAAAAGTTTTCCTAAAACACTCTGTATACATACAAGAAAAAACCGTTTAAATACAATATTGCGCCTTTAAATTACTAAACATTCATTAAGGAGTTAATTTGAATTTGGAATATTGTTTTTGCATTAAATTTGAATAAACTTAAACCCTTGCTGAATTAAATTATAATCTTAACGGTTTTGTTTGGCGAAACTATCCATTACTATTTTATCATCCCGTCTAGCCGTTCCGTCTGCTCGGTCTTTGACCGCTGGAATCTTAGCCCCATCGTTTGTGGGTCTTTTTTTCCAGTGAAAACTTTAGGCAGACAATAATCTTGTACTAAAGCAATTTGCTGGTAATGACAATTTTTGTATGGATGGTAAAGCAAATAATTACAATAATTTTCAGTAGGTATCGCATTTTGAATAAAATTGTCGATTTGTATTTGTAATTTATAATAATGACCTGTACATCGACCTTTTCAGAAGTCAGACATGTAGTGGCGGGGGTGTCTTTTCTTTCAAAAGAAATTTCGCCAATAACAGTGTCCGTAAACAAATCTACGGATTCTGATTCGCTTACTGAATGCTGTTTTACACTGTAGAGGACAAGAGAAGCTATCATAGCAAGGCGAACATTAAGGCTTATAAAAGTGATACGTACAGTACATAGCATATTTGGTTGTGTTTTTGTGAAGCAACGTTTCATGTTGACACTGTAGCAAACCATTGTATACAAAATATAATTGCAAAGTTATTTATCTGTGTAATATGAGTTATGTGAGCAGAAATAAATTTGAGGTAAGTAATGCTGTTAATTTTAATGCTACGTGATTTTCATTTGTGCGTAGTGTTTATGTGAAACAGCTGACTTCTCGAACAATGACTTCCAGTATCAATTTTGCCTACAAACTTTAGGTTTTTGTTTATTATCGTTATCATTATGTTAGTGCGAAAATACTTATAGCATACTGATATTAAGCCTATATCCTGTTTAATGTTAATTGTTAGTTTGTCTTTGTTTGATGAAATTGTGTAAATCGAATGTGATCCCACGTAGTATTTTTGTAGTAAAAAAAAAACAACTTAAGATGTAGCCCAACTGTCTGTTAAAATTTCATTTTTCAAGCATATTTATTTTCGAATTTGAGATTTTAAGGCAATAAACATACAATCTATTGATCTTAACCTTACAATAACTGTAAATTTGCTAAATGGTGAGAAGGTGAATGCACTGATTTTCCTTGTAATAGGTAGCATGATTCACATGTGAATTCATTTGATATTCGACTTATTGTATTTAAAATATCTACAATTAATAGTGCTAGTTGAATTTAACTAGCTTTATGTAAGCATATTTTGTTATTCTATTCTTGCCTGTGATATCAGTACCATTCTTGTTTACAGCACTTACCCCTTTTTTTTATTGAAGTCACTATATCTAATTTTCATATTTTGATGATGTTCATTACACTGGCTTATATCTATATTACATTACTTTATTTTGTTTCTCTTTAATTTATTTTTATTTTATTTGCATGTTACTTGCATGATAGTCTGCTCGCAAACATATCCAAGAAGAGTCTGGTAATTTAGATGTCCTGGGACCTGAAAATCGTTCTTGGTGGCGCCAAAAGAGCAAAAATAAACAGTTCAATCAAAGTAATTCCAGTATGACTGTGGAAACAGTGAAACAGGTTTGATATGTGCAATAGTTATATGTGTAAATGTCTTTTGGCTCTTTTTTTTCTCAATTTTATTGCACTTTATAAATTGCAGTAAAAAAGTGCTTGCTGTACATATTTGTTTCAAATCTATTGTAAATGTATTTACCTAATTACTGTTATATTTAACACTTTATCTATTTTCAGCTTACAAAAGTGTTTTGTGATGATGAAGCACTTATAAACAAGAAGCTGCCAAAAGAACTAATATTAAGAATCTTCTCTTACTTAGATGTTGTATCATTATGCCGCTGTGCCCAAGTTTCAAAAGCTTGGAATGTTCTAGCTTTAGATGGTTCAAATTGGCAAAGAATTGATTTATTTGATTTTCAGAAAGATGTAGAAGTATGCTATTATAAAGAAATAATAATTTGTGTATCACTTCAGTATGTATTTCAGGGCCCAATAATTGAAAATATTTCTAGAAGATGTGGTGGTTTTCTCAGACAGCTATCTTTAAGGGGTTGCCAGTCCATTGCAGATGGTTCAATGAAAACATTAGCTGCATTATGTCCAAATGTAGAGGATCTCAATCTAAATGGTTGCAAAAAAATAACAGATTCAACTTGCCAGGCTTTAGCAAAACATTGTGTTAAAATACAAAAACTTAATTTAGATAGTTGTGCTGCAATCACAGACTTATCGTTAAAGGCACTTAGTGATGGTTGTCCTCAGTTAACACATATTAATATTAGTTGGTGTGGAAATGTTACTGAAAATGGTGTTGAAGCCTTGGCAAGAGGTTGTCCTAAATTGAAAAGCTTTATTAGCAAAGGATGCAGACAAATTACATCAAAAGCAGTGGTTTGTCTTGCTAGATTTTGTGAAGGATTGGAAGTTGTAAATTTGTTAGGATGTAATGTGAGTCCAGTCAATTTACAATTAATTTTCATAAAAAGTTCTAACATTGGAAAATCAATCTTTTGCAGAATTTAAGAGATGAAGCAGTCCAAGTCCTGGCAGAAAAATGTAATAAATTACATTATTTATGCCTCTCAGGATGCTCTCAGCTTACAGATACATCCCTGATCTCCTTAGCTCAACAATGCCCCTATCTTTCGACATTAGAAGTAGCGGGCTGTTCTCAATTTACCGATGCTGGTTTTCAGGCATTAGCAAGAGTATGTAATATACATTTTATTGTCCTTCCACCACCCTCAACCACCCTGACCTTTTTATGCGGTATTCAGTCAACTGCAATAGTATTTGTTAATAATTTTGAAAAACATACTACTATTTGCAGCAAAGATGGTATGCTGCTCATATCATAAATTTAATGTAATTTTAATTGAAATTAATATATTGCTTTTCCAGAGTTGTCGGTATTTAGAAAAAATGGATTTGGACGAATGTGTATTGATTACAGATGCAACCCTTATACATTTAGCAATGGGGTGTCCTCGAATAGAATACCTGGTACACCTTCTTGGCATTTTTAGTAAGAGACGTTTAACATAATTAGTTTTAGACACTTTCTCATTGTGAACTGATAACTGATGAAGGAATTCGACATTTATCAATGTCGCCATGTGCAGCCGAAAATTTGACCGTTTTGGAGTTAGATAACTGCCCTTTAATAACCGATGCTTCTCTAGAACATCTCACATCATGCCATAACTTACAACGTGTAGAACTTTATGACTGCCAGCTAATTACCAGAGTTGGAATTAGAAGACTACGAGTAAGTATTTTGGAAAAGTTGGAATCATTTCTTTTTGATCTCACTGAATATTAACATTATCAACAACTACAAACAATAAAGTACTTTTAATCACAAAATGCTCATTTTCATTAAAAATTTTCCTCCCGTAGTGTCTATTATGTTTTACATCCTCCTACACAAGTGCTTTAATTTCAGAGTCATTTAACCAACATAAAGGTGCACGCTTATTTTGCTCCAGTTACTCCTCCTCCTTCAGCAGGTGGTTCGCGCCAACGCTACTGCAGATGTTGTATTATTCTTTGAGACTGCTGCCCGCACGGCTTTGATGATCCGTAACAATTATGTGTTTGAGAACACAGGGTTTTGTGCGAAAACAAAAATGTAATCAACGAATAGCCTTCAATTTTGTGTGCGCAGCCAAGTTCCTCTTGAACTTGGTTCTTTGACATTTGAAGGTCGCAGTTTACGATGGTATTGCATAAAAAAATCAAAAAGTGTACTTACATGAATTTACCAGTATCACTGAAGAAATGTTTGTTTCTTATGTATCTATTCAGACCACTATATTTTTATGCAAGAAACAGAACCTGGAGAAACATTTTTAAAAACAAAAATGAATAGATAGTGGATTTTTCTAGACTATAGTGGCCTTTTGTAACGGTTGTGACCCATTCCTGATTTTTACACCCTATTCAACCTTTTTCTTTGTGGTGTACGTAAACGTTGCTTTTTCGTTGCCGGTGTACTATAATAATTGCTTAAAATGAGGTAAAAGCAAAATAGATTTCTCAACAAATAGTATTAACTGCAATACAAACCTTGTAATCGTAAAGTATAAAAGAATATTAATGTAAACATCAATTTATTTAATTCATAATCTGACACTGTCGTTATTTATAGTATGTGTATGAGAATTAGTAAGTAACCTCTTTTTTGTATCATTTTCCTTTTCATATGAGGCAGTATTTAATTTTAATTTACTGAAAGCTTCTAAAAGCTCATGATTTAAATGTTTGTTTTTAATTTATGATGTAAAGATTTTGCTAAATACCACACACTCTTGTATATTTACGATTTCAAAGCTGCAACAAGTTTGTTAATATAATGTACATATATATTCGTGAATTTAATTTAAATCAAAAATTGATGATTAGCTACTAAATCGTTACAGTATTACACATTTAGTTGCTACCATTAATTATTTATATTTATATACTTTCGGATAAATAATTGTGATAAAAACTGCTTTTGTTTCTCATACTGAAATAAAAATAAACTAAGGGTACTTATGCTATTATTTATTCATTATATGTATTTATTAAGTATCGAAGTCCCGTGGCTACGCCCCCTGAGACAAAAGACATAACATCCAGTCGAGAACTTTAATTAAATATGTTGTATCATTATGCCGCTGTGCCCAAGTTTCAAAAGCTTGGAATGTTCTAGCTTTAGATGGTTCAAATTGGCAAAGAATTGATTTATTTGATTTTCAGAAAGATGTAGAAGTATGCTATTATAAAGAAATAATAATTTGTGTATCACTTCAGTATGTATTTCAGGGCCCAATAATTGAAAATATTTCTAGAAGATGTGGTGGTTTTCTCAGACAGCTATCTTTAAGGGGTTGCCAGTCCATTGCAGATGGTTCAATGAAAACATTAGCTGCATTATGTCCAAATGTAGAGGATCTCAATCTAAATGGTTGCAAAAAAATAACAGATTCAACTTGCCAGGCTTTAGCAAAACATTGTGTTAAAATACAAAAACTTAATTTAGATAGTTGTGCTGCAATCACAGACTTATCGTTAAAGGCACTTAGTGATGGTTGTCCTCAGTTAACACATATTAATATTAGTTGGTGTGGAAATGTTACTGAAAATGGTGTTGAAGCCTTGGCAAGAGGTTGTCCTAAATTGAAAAGCTTTATTAGCAAAGGATGCAGACAAATTACATCAAAAGCAGTGGTTTGTCTTGCTAGATTTTGTGAAGGATTGGAAGTTGTAAATTTGTTAGGANTTTATATATATTTTTATAATTAAACTATAATTTATGGTATGATGTATAGACAGCCCAACATACACCAAATATTACAATTGTAATAGTGTAATCACAAAGAATGTTGGAAAGCGTTTCTTCTCATGGAAATAACTTTATTAGGTGAAACTCAACACTATCCTCTAACAAATCACAAAATATTATGAATATAGAACTAATTAATTGATTAGTAATATATTTAAAGATATCTGTTTAAATTTGGTTAAAAACCGTTACACTTTTTTACGTTAAATTACTAAATCTACATAACTTTATACCTTTTTTGACATGCTGCTAGATTAAATAATTTGTAGATCAAATAAAAGTACACAAATTCGATTTGGTAATTTTGAACAAGCGGAGATATTAAAAACAATATTTATTTAAATTTAAAGAACTACAGAATTTCTCTATAAAAACAAAGTGTTGACACAATACAGTTTTAATTGCAAGGATTTTAGGCTGCATCGGAAAGCTTAAATGGTCAAACACATTATTGATAATGCATAAAGTTAATTTCTCTGAGATTTGCTGCATAGTTCATGGTATTTCCTCCAGTTCTCCTGAAGTAAACACGGCTTAGATGATTTGAAGAGATTAGGCGAAAATCGTTTTCCATATCTAAAAAAGACCGATAAATTAAAATAAATGTTTAATAAATCAGAGGAGACATTAAATAATAAATAATTACTTACAGTAATAGTTCAAAACATTGAAAGAAAGGAAACCACAACCAATAAGCAATTTAGGGATATAACACATAAAAAACAAACATAACTTTATTTGGTAATAAGTATTTCAGAACTAAGAAATTTCGTACAACTGTTAATAAAAGCATTTCTTAAAGATATTTCATTTGATTTATGAAGTTACCTTTGGTTGTTATTTTCCATACGAACTTGTCTGAGTTTTTCAAGGTAGCTTGCGATATCTGCACGACTTATGAATTTCTCTGGGCGTATGGGTCGCACCAACATTTCCTGTCTTTCGCCCATAACAAATGCAAGAAAAACAACCAAAAATAGGAAAATTCGCCAATAAATCATGCTTGCGACCTGCAAAATTAAAACACTATCGTCCGATCTTTATTATTAAAAATAGTGGGCAACAGTTCTAAGTAAAGTCACCCAATGAAATACTATTATAGCGGGGTTACACTAAAATTTTTGTTTAAAGGGTTTATCTAACTCACTTTGTGAATAATACGAAAACGTAACAATACAGAACTTCGTTTAAATTTACCTATTTTCAAATTTCGAGAAACTATACTGTCCCTTTTTTAACATTTTGTGCTTATATACCATTTATTTGAATGCGAATCGACTCGATAAGAAACGATAACCGACGAGAAAAATATATCGCATGATTTTCCTTTTAGCTTTTAGAATCAAATTTCAGAATCGTTTTTCTAATACATTTTATCATAGGAACAAGAAAATGAAATGGACTTCTGTGAAATTGAAGCAGGGTTGCAAAAATACTACAGTAAATAATTTACGTTATGCATTAACTTTACAATAAATAATGGAAATATTTTCAATTGACCATTAATTTTGTTTTACATGTACCTATTAANCAATAAATAATGGAAAGATTTTCAATTGACCATTAGTTTTGTTTTACATGTACCTATTAATTTTTTCTTAAATGTTCTTTGATCCTCACCTCAGTGTTACCACCTGTTTGGCCAATATACGTATGTGGCTTCACAATTGTTACAATCATATTTAAGGTTTCAATACCCCTTTACGTATGATTATTACTTAACAATTTACCTAAATTGGATTTATTAACCGTTATCATATTTCTTTTTTATTAAATATATAATTGTGGTCATATTTGCCATGCAGTATGTAAATTCAATTTTAACTTTTGACTGAATCTTCACGCAAACACATTAAATTAATAACATAAAAGTATTTAAATAATAAAACACACAAGGTGTCCTGAAATCATAGCTTTAAATCGGCACTATTATATAAAGAACCACAATTCCGATCCAATGTGTAATTCCTGAATATATCTCCTTTCAATTAGTTTTAATTATGTCCTATTAAAAACTTAATTTGCATAAATACCTATTTAAAACTTTTCTCTTTAATACACAGTAATATGTAGGATACGTGACATTTTCAATTTCCAGCCGTTTATGGAAAGCATGAAAGAAAGCATCAGTAAACTAAGTAGGTGCTACTTCAAAATTTATTTACACGCGTATAAGATTTCTTAACTTAAAAATACTGCTATTAATGCGTTTTAGATGTTCATTTCTAAATCTGCTAGTACACGTAAATGTTTAACACAAGATAGGTACTGCAAACAAAGGAATGTTGTTGAATGACGATTATGTACTATTGATGAACAATTTTATGAATTATTACGGCTATTTTATTGACTGAACCGTTATTTAAATTTTACTGTATTTGGAACTAACTGAAGGCATCGAAAAAAAAAATAATAAAATACGTGTGTTTCTAAAATAAAAATAAGGGAGAAAAACACGTGAGTGTAGGCAGATTTTTAGGGTAGATACACATTACAGCATAAATTAAATTTTCGTACACTTTCAAGCTTAATTTAATTAGAATTGCGATGTTTTATCTCCCATAAAACAGATTTCATGGCAACGTTGTAATGCAATTTAGCCCTTATGAAAGCTTTTTTTATAAAACGACATATAAAGAGGTTTATAAATACGATGTAAACAGCCTATCAAACATACTAAAGCATAACAATTAGTGATGGGAAAAATAAGATTAAAATGTCTTCAAACAAATCATTTCAGTTATGTACCATATTAAAATTTTTAAACTGATGTTATTTAAAACATCGGCGTATTCCGACTGTGCCCTGAAATAACAATTTATTTTTCTTTTCGTGTTTATAAAAAATCTGTAAAGCACAAAAATGCTGATAAAAAAAAATGAAGATAGGTACCATCTCAAAAGTAAATAATTTTATCGAAACATAACGATTTGTTTTGTTTAAAAAGTACGTGCGTGTTTTGCGTATAAATAAATCCTTAAGAATTTCCTTTTGCTCAGGCTTACGGCAACTTCCTCAATCAGAAAATGTATATGTCAAGTGAAGTCAAGCATAAAAATGGATTGACTTCATGGTTTTGTATTTAACTGTTAAATTAATATGTCAGATCAAATACATCCAGCTTAAGCCTGATGCAGTAAGAAAATTATATCCACCTCCCCGAAGAATAAGACGTAAGAACCATTCTTGTATTTTTTTTTATTCAGTAGTAACCAATAAATATTGATATTCAATTATATCTAATCTACCACACGGTTTTTAGAGCTGTTTTTAACTATTTATTTATCTATTATTTTATATTTAT